TCTCTCTCTACCTGAATTGTAATTAGATTATGAATTTAAGAAATCAAGACAAAAATAACAAAGAACACAACATATTTGAAAAGAATATACCTCCTTTCGTAACCAATGACCAAATGTTTTACTATGCTCTTGTTCTAGATGTGCCTTTCGTTTAGTAGGGTGTAGATGTTCCAAAAATTCCATATGTCGTCTGTCAATACGTTAATGTTAATATTATAACAAAAAAACATACATGTAAAAAATCTTACTTGATATACGGGAGTACTTCAGATGTATTTTGCAATACAAAGAAATGTGCTTTGCTGAATAGTTCTGCAGAAACTTCTACCGATTTAGCAGCTGATAGAGGAGTACCGTCCGTAATAGAGCTACTATCTACACCTTTATGAATTCCACATTTGTTATGATTGTCAGGTGGAATACCAACAGTATCCATCTTTTTAAGGAATTGACTAAAAACTCAATTGTATCTTCTGCAACATTCTCTTCTGCAATGCATCCTTCTGGTCTATTTTTGTTTCGCACGTGCCCCTTAACAACCTTCATAAACCTTTCAAACGGGTACATCCATCTAAAGAATATTGGACCGCATAATTTTACTTCCCTAGTTAGATGAACGGTTAAATGAATCATCACATCAAAAAATGATGGTGGAAAGTGTTTCTCAAGAAGACATAAGGTTACACATAACTCCTCTTGCAACTTATCGAGCTCATCCACTATGATTTCTTTGCTACATATTGATTTGAAAAAGAAACAAAACCTTGTAATAGCAACTCTGGTGGGTGGATGCATAATAGATCGAATTGCTATGGGCAAAAATTGTTGCATAAGCATGTTATAGTCATGTGATTTTAGTCCGATCAACTTCCTATCCTTTAGACTCACCAAACTAGAAAAATTAGAACAATACCCTTGAGGAACCCTTAAGTTGTATAAAGTCTCACAGAATTTGTCTTTTTCCTCTTTTGTCAATGTACAACCTGCTGCGGGAAGTGTTGTGTTGTTCCCTTCTATCTGAGGATGCAACTCTGGTTTTAAACCATAATGAACCAAATCCAATCGAGCTTTATAACCATCTTTCGTCTTCCCGGGAACGTTCAACACAGTTCCTGTTAAACTCTCGCCCACGTTCTTTTCCACATGCATAAAATCTATACAATGTGGAACCAAATTGTCGGACCAATACCTTAGTTGTCTATACCATATATTGAATTTCTTCCAGTATGTATTATTTTGCTGGCCCACATCTGAAGTACCCACTTGGTGTGATTTTCTATTTTTTTATTAATCTTCCCACCTTTTCCACTTGTAGATTGTTGGATTTCTGCCTCCTTGCCCTTATTAACCTTTCCCCATTTATTAATTATAAATTTCACCCTGTTATATATTTCCTCCCCATTCATAGGTTTTAGAGAGGGTGAGAACTCTTGTTGTCCATTGAATGCCTTCTTTTGTCTTCTGAACGGGTGATCATATGGTAGAAATCTTCTATGACCAGCATAACTCTGCTTATTCGATTCAGGGAGTCTAATGCAGTGTGTCTCTTCGCCACACACAACACAACCTTGAAAACCGCTGTATGGGCAACCACTTAATGTACCTAGAGCAGGATAATCATTAATAGTCCATAACATAACTGCACGTAGTTTAAAGTGCTCTTGTGCATATGCATCGTATGTTTCAACTCCAATATTAAATAATAATTGCAGATCATCAATAAAAGGTGCTAGGAACACATCAATATCGTTTCCTGGTGTTCCCGAAATCAATAACGAAAGCATGATGAACTTTCTCTTCATACACAACCATGGTGGAAGGTTGTAAATGACAGTTAAAACAGGCCAAACACTATGATTCCTATTTCCTCTGTTCACATCGACCCCGTCAGCCGAAATGCCTAGCCGCAAATTTCTTGGTTCGCTAGCAAAATCAGGATATTTGTCATCAATGGCAGCCCATGCTGGTGAATCAGCTGGGTGACTTAAAACGCCAATATCCACCTTTCTTTCTATTGCGTGCCATGTTAAATCTTTTGCGGTAGTCTTAGACTGAAAAAGACGCTTTAAGCGCGGAATAATTGGAAAGTACCACAAAACTTTTGCAGGAATATTGTTGTAAATTTTATTTTTTTGTTCATCAACCTTCCATCTTGATTTACCACAAGTAGGACATGCTGCCAAGTCTGTGTATTCGTTTCTGTAAAGTATACAATTGTTGACACATGCATGTATCTTAGTATACCCTGAACCCATTGCCTTGAATGCTTTTTTTGCCTCGTATGTACTACTGTACATTTCGTTTCCTTCTGGTAACATATTTTTGATCAAAACTAATAATTCTGTAAAGCACTTATCTGATACTCCATACTTACTCTTCAAGTTGAGTAGTTGAATGATTGCAGATAATTTTGTGAAATTATGACACCCTGTGTATAGGGGCTTCTCGGCATCTTCTTTCAGTTCTCTAAACTTATCAGGGTTCCCAATAAAATTTTCTTCTACAGCTTGAACCATCTATACTATTTCTGCAGCATCTGTTGGCATTTCTGTGTTCATGTTCATGGAATCTACAACGTTTGACGTATCCATGTCAAAATTATGTTCATATATATAACTTCTTGGTGGTTCTTCTGTTTCTCCATGCTTATTCCAATTTGTGTATGTTTGATCAATTCCATTCCTGAATAGATGATCATCTACCACATCCACCGAATGAGATATGTGGTTTACACACTTAACACATGGACATGGAATTCTTATCTTTTTTTTGGTATCTACAGGATCCATATGTTTAGAAATCTTGTAATTGTGTACTGCATATTTGATAAACTCTGCAACACCTTTTACATAGGTTTCTGATGTTCTGTAGGCTCTCATCCAAGACTTATCCATATTCACCTTACAACAGCATCAACAAGCAATATATGTTTCCTGTTGATTGACCCATTTTAACAAACAGTTGGTGTGCATAAACGAAATAGATCACATTACAAATAAATCCAATATCTTGAACAAAAAAACTTGTTAACTAAAAAAAAAAATATAATGATACACATCATGACCAAACGAAATAACAAAGATTCATATTATGAGGGTAATTGTTTTTTAATTCCCTGTATTAATTAAATTTAGTATTTGTACCTGTATGAATTTGATGTTGATGTATCAATTTCTGGTTGAAGAATAAACGTAGTTGCAATGCCTTTGTAGTTATCAGAGAATGAATCGATAGGAATTCATATTGTCTAAAAGGGGATATTTACGCATTGAGTCTGGATTATCAGGGACATGTGGAGAAGTGATAAAAAGTGGATGATCAGGGACATATCGAGAACTAAAAAAAAAAAAGAAAAAAAAATTGTTGCTAGTTGGGTTCGAACCCATGACCTTCCAAAATATACCATTAACTACATTCACACTTACCATCTGGGGTATCTGGTTGATTGTAATTTATTGGTTTACGAAAAAAACAAAAAAATTAACCAAAAGAGAAAAGAATCCACTAAAACTGAACTAAGACAAACACAGTTAGCATCAAGCATTTTTTCCTCATTTGATACAATAAATGTAATTGTTGTTGCACATTGTTTTTAATTAGCCTTCACAATTGAAAATTAAAAATAAAAAACAAATCATTCTTTCCTAATTTGATACAATAAATGAATGACCATTATACCCTTATATCTCACACACAGATTAAGTAGGAAATTATATAATTTTCTTTGTTTTATCATAATAACAATTAATGGACGGATATACCCTTGCTATAACATAACTACATAGTGGAACTAAGTTGCAAGGTACATTGCTATTTTAGAAAACAATTCAGTAAAACAGGGACAAACCTGACTCAGTTATAAGTAGTCAAAACAATCTAAATTAACATATAAAATTAATATGATAACTATTTCCCATTTTGCCCCTAAGACAATTCTATTTAAAACAACATCAAATATGGACATATAACATATAATTGACTGTTATACCCCTGTGTTATCATAAATACAAAGTGGAACTAAGTTGCAAAGTACATTGCTATCTTAAAAAACAATTAAGCAAAACAGGGCAAAAATGACTGAGTTATAAGTATGCAAAACATGGACATAATTCATATATAAAATTAATATGATAACTAATTCCCATTTTGCCCCTTAGACAATTCTATTTAAAACAACATCAAATCTAGACATATAACATATAATTGACTGTTATACCCCTATTTTATCATAAATACAGAGTGCAACTAAGTTGCAAAGTACATTGCTATCTTAAAAAACAATTAACTAAAACTGGGACAAATCTGACTCACTTACAAGTATGCAAAACATGGACATAATTAACATATAAAACTAATATGATAACTAATTCTGATTTTGCCCCTAAGACATTTCTATTAAAAACACCATCAAATATGGGCATATAACATATAATTGACTGTTCTACCCATGTGTTAGCAAACTACATTGCCTTTTTAACAACACAATATATCAAAACAGGGACACAAAATATAACATCAAATATAGACATACTATATAATCAAAACAACATCACATATAGACATAATATATAACAATTCATTAAATAAAAGAGTTTCATATTAATTACAAAAAATAGAGTATCATATGTACTTTGTATTAATCACAAAAAAGATTACAACATAGTTCACCTAGGCTATGTCTTTCCATGCTATGACATTTTCTTTCGCCATGTCCATAGCATCCTCCATTTTTTCTCTTGGAATTCTCATGTTTAGCATATGATTGATGTATGCTATTCCATCATCAACCGATGCCCTTGGATGTTCTGTTACAAACATGTGAATAAGCTTCTCAACACGTTTGGCTGGTGAGTTCATCAAAAAATGTAGGAAATTGTTTGGAACAAACACAGGCCTGTGTTCAACATAGCCCTAACTAACGTCTTGAAGGGTCCCAAACATTCATCATTCAGAATTGGAATCATTGACAACCCACTGTGTTCTTCGGTGGGCATATGATATCAGTTCCCCAAACTTGTATACCCAAGGCTTCTAGAAAAACGGCCAAGCATCTCCATGTTTATCAAATCGATGTTCACTTGAGAAATAAAGTGAACCTTTGTCTGTTGATACGCCTTACCTGGGTAGTCTGTAAAGAACCCACCATGAACAACACGAATGGTGAATCTTTTCTCGTTTGCCTTCCCGTATTCAACCACCGGTGTGTTTCTTGGTGGTTCGGCGCTTACACTCCATAGTTGGAACTTCGGACGTGCCCACGGATCAGCATTCATCTTCTGTTCAATTGATCGTCGTAGTTTTTTCAAAGAGGAAGAGGGAGAAATCGAAGTTATTGTAACGTAATGAATATGTGAGAATGACGAAATTGACATAAGCGAATGGTTTAAAAGGATCATCAGTCGGAGGTGAAGGGACGTCGACTGAGGCCATCACTTCTCCGATTAATTGCAGTCTAAAGAGGAGGTGGATTTTGAACGACGGCTAGTCGGCTACGATAATGATTACACATTTTTGTATTATACATTAATATATCTAGTATTTACATTAATATCTATAATATTAATGTAAAAAATATCTATAATATTAATTAAATGTAATATCCATACTATCATTGTTTTTTTATTATCAAAAAAAAAAATTTATATATAAATTTATAATAAATATATAAAATGAATTTTTTAATTCAAATGGGTTAGGGTTGACCATCATTAGGTCATGTATGGGTGTTGGTTGTGGGTTTGGACCTCATTAGGTCATGTATGGGTGTTGGTTGTGGGTTTCGACCTCATTAGGAGATGTACGAGTGTTGGTTGTGGGTTTGGACCTCATTAGGTCATCTACGGGTGTTGGTTGTGGGTTTGGACCTCATTAGGTCATCTACGGGTGTTGGTTGTGGGTTTGGACCTCATTAGGTCATGTACGGGTGTTGGTTGTGGGTTTGGACCTCATTAGGAGATGTACGAGTGTTGGTTGCGGGTTTGGACCTCATTAGGTCATGTACGGGTGTTGGTTGTGGGTTTGGACCTCATTAGGTCATGTACGGGTGTTGGTTGTGGGTTTGGACCTCATTATGTCATCTACGAGTGTTGGTTCTGGGTTTGGACCTCATTAGGTCATGTATGGGTGTTGGTTGTGGGTTTGGACCTCATTAGGTCATGTATGGGTGTTGGTTGTGGGTTTGGACCTCATTAGGTCATGTACGGGTGTTGGCTGTGGCTTTGGACCTCATTAGGTCATCTACGGGTGTTGGTTGTCGGTTTGGACCTCATTAGGTCATGTATGGGTGTTGGTTGTGGGTTTGGACCTCATTAGGCCATGTATAGGTGTTGGTTGTGGGTTTGGACCTCATTAGGTCATGTATGGGTGTTGGTTGTGGGTTTGGACCTCATTAGGAGATGTACGGGTGTTGGTTGTGGGTTTGGACCTCATTAGGTCATCTACGGGTGGTGGTTGTGGGTTTGGACCTCATTAGGTCATCTACGGCTGTTGGTTGTGGGTTTGGACCTCATTAGGTCATGTACGGGTGTTGGTTGTGGGTTTGGACCTCATTAGGAGATGTACGGGTGTTGGTTGTGGGTTTGGACCTCATTAGATCATCTACGTGTGTTGGTTATGGGTTTGGACCTCATTAGGTCATCTACGGGTGTTCGTTGTAGGTTTGGACCTCATTAGGTCATGTACGGGTGTTGGTTGTGGGTTTGGACCTCATTAGGTCATCTACGGGTGTTGGTTGTGGGTTTGGACCTCATTAGGTCATGTATGGGTGTTGGTTGTGGGTTTGGACCTCATTAGGTCATGTATGGGTGTTGGTTGTGGGTTTGGACCTCATTAGGTCATGTACGGGTGTTGGTTGTGGGTTTGAACCTCATTAGGTCATCTACGGGTGTTGGTTGTGGGTTTGGACCTTAATAGGTCATGTATGGGTGTTGGTTGTGGGTTTGGACCTTATTAGGTCATGTATGGATGTTGGTTGTGGGTTTGGACCTCATTAGGTCATGTATGGATGTTGGTTGTGGGTTTGGACCTCATTAGGTCATGTATGGGTGTTGGTTGTGGGTTTGGACCTAATTAGGTCATGTATGGGTGTTGGTTGTGGGTTTGGACCTCATTAGGTCATGTATGGGTGTTGGTTGTGGGTTTGGACCTCATTAGGTCATGTATGGGTGTTGTTGTGGGTTTTGGACCTCATTAGGTCATCTACAGGTGTTGGTTGTGGGTTTGGACCTCATTAGGTCATGTACGGGTGTTGGTTGTGGGTTTGGACCTCATTAGGTCATGTACGGGTGTTAGGTGTATAATATCATAGGATAGTCATTGGTTTATGGAGTTATGGCATATAAATTATTATAAAAAATTATTAAGCCTACTAGACCTTGTATTATTTTTGTTATATAATAATATTTTTCCGTTGTATATTTATTTTTTTAACTTTAAATATTTTTTATTTCAAATAGTCATAAATGTTTTTCCAAAGAATAAATTGTTAACTTAGATGGACCAAATATGTAATATTTATATTATTACCAAATAAATCATAATAATGTTTGAGAAGGCAGAACATGTTTCCAAACCACGATATTTGCTTCAAATCGTGTGGGATTACTATCAGCTCAAAATTTGAAACACATTTGAATTCGTCAAACGAATTTAAACAAAACTAATGGGAGGCAAACATTTTTTCGTATGGTTTTTGGGCTCCAAATCAAAGCGGGAAATCTTCATCTATCGCACCGCCAAAACTATGAAGATCAATCCATCGGATCAAGGAAATTCCGGTAATTTTTTGGTAACATCCATCAATTTAGGACCTGTTAAATCATTTTAATATTTAATAGACCGTCATTTATTCCACCATTGTTTTGTTTAGCGTTAGGTTATATCCCAAAAGGATCATAATTCAGTTCATCATTCATCAAGCTTTCTAGTGTAAGTATATTGTTTGTGTATGTATTATTTCAATGTTATTGATTGTATTGATTACGGATCATGCATAACACAAACAATTTTGATTCTTCATATTGGTGTGCTTGTTGCACACCAACTGTTCGATGAAATGTTTATGTGAGCAATTGTCTGTAATATTATTATTCATACATTATCATTAAACTTATAAACAATCAAAGTTATTTTCAATCTGTTTTGTCAACAGAAGAATCATGGAGGTTGACAAGGAACAACATGAGGATATCCCTGACTATAATATAGAAGATGAGCTAGATGATGGAAACCAAGAATATGATTCGGAGACAGAGGATGGTGAAAATAAAGACATTCACTACAATAGCCAATCAGATTCGGAAGAAGAAATCCGTAAAACAGTTCCTACAAGGTCAAATAGGAAGAGGGGCATGACTCGATTGCCAAAACTGAAGACTGAATATGTCAATTCTGGTGGTAAAAAAAAACGTGCCAGGTTTGATGAATTCGGTAAGTTTACAGGGAAGAATAATGCAGTCTTTGTTAGCTATTTGGGTGATCTTGTCCGCGAGAAGGTGGGATTAAGTGCTCTTTGCTGGAAAAAAGTTAAACCGGAAATGAAGGACAAACTATGGGAAGAGATTACAGTAAATATTTTCTTCAATTTTTTAATCTGTATAACATATTATATGTAAAAACCAAGTATTAAATACTAGTATTTTCATTTTTTTTGTTTTAGCGCTATTTTGAGGTTCATGAAAGTGGAAAACAATTTGTGATGAATAGACTTGGTATTCTTCTACGGAACTTCAGAAGAAAGTTGTATGCAGATTACATCAAGCCACATCTAGGCAATCCCAAAAAGCTTGAAAAAATCCCCATTCGTTATCGTGCACTAATCACTGAACAAGATGATTGGAACAAATTTGTGACTTATACGCAATCTCAAGAGTTTAATGTTAAAATCTTTTTTCAAAACTTATTCATTTATTTATCATAAACTGGGTTATAAAAGTGCGTGACAAATATTTTACTTTTATTTCACAGAATGTGTCACAAAGGACTATCAAAGCGAGAAAGATGTCAAAGTATGCTCATCGGATGGGACGAGGGGGGTATACTACTCTTAGGAGGAAGTTGGTAAGCTTGGTCTTTAGCTATATTAACTTCATAGGATTTTATTTAACATGCTTTTGTTTCATATTCTTTAAAATTTAATTTTTTTATCAAGATTGAAGAGAATGTGATTTCAAAGGAGGAAATGCCCCCAAGGTCAGTTATGTGGTGTAAAGGGCGTGAAAGTAAAGGAGAATTTAAGGATGAAGATGTTAAAATCATGGCTGATAGACTAGTAACTTCACTACACTTTTCTTTTTCTTTTACTTTAAATATTTTAATCATTGTTATTAAGACAATAATTATTAATTTTTTGTTTGGTAGATGGAACATGAGAAGCAGATAAAAGAAGGACAAGTAAATGTTGAACCAGGAACGGATGCCATGACCTTAGTTTTTGGCAAGGAAAAGGGCGGATTTTTAAAGGGTGTCGGCACGGGAGTCACTTACAACAGATATTTCAATGTTCCTCGCAGCAAAGGGTCATCTAAGGAAGAAATTAAGGATCTTAAAGTTGCACTGCATAATGGAAAACTTGAGCTTGAGAAAAAAGATGCTGAACTCAAGGCTTTGTCTACAAAGGTTAATGAACAAGATCAAACACTAAAGCTAGTTTTGGCTCATCTTAATGCAAAAGGAGCTGACTTTCCAAATCTGTCTCATACAATTGTAAGTAATCTTATTGAAAATATCTGTTGTCAATGTTAGCTGTAAATTGCATTTCTTTTACACATTTTCCCTGTTTCTTTATATTTTCTAGGGTATTTCAAGTGAGAAGATTGTACAAAGTAATGAAACGTCTCCTATTAGTCTCAAAACCAATGAACCTTCAGAACCTGTAACACCAGTATGTTATCATCTTATTAGATCATCGTTGATATATATATATATATATATATATATATATATATATATATATATATATATATATATATATATATATATATATATTTGGTACTAATTTCTAATTTTTCATGTTGGACTTTAAATTGTGTAGGTTATTCCAAAACCCACCAAAAAACCTGTTCAAACGAAATCTGCAACTGCAACTCCCGATGCAGAATTGATTTCCATGAAATCTGCAACAGTAGTATATACTAACCTTACAGTTTTCAATACTTTTATTTAATCTTTTATATTAAAATATAATTTTATATATGTCTTAAATCTTTATATTAGGCTAATACAAAAACCACCAGAAAAGTTGTTGAGTGTAAGACTGCCACTATCAATCATGACATACCAACAGTTTCACCAAATAAACCCATTCATCAGGTCAGTGTTTTTTTACATGATCAATATACATTTCTGTCTTTTTTTTCTGATTATAATATTACTT